TGTGTGTGTGTGTGTGTGTGTGTGTGTGTGTGTGTGTGTGTGTGTATCTGTGTGTGTGTGCCCTGCTTAATCAGTCTTCCCCCTATTCTGATAAGCATATACATTAAATAGTATAGTTAGTCATATTTGGAGATAGGCTCTTGATAAGTTGTGCAGGCTGACCTTGAACTTATGATACTTCTACCTCATCCTCCCAAACAGGCACCACTAGGCCTGGCTAGCATTTTATTTTATTATCACAAATCTAAAATGAGGCTGATCTGCTGTTGTGACATTAATGACAATCACCACTGGTGTCTGCAGGAACGGCCCCGATGCTCTCACATGCCGTTTATGTTTTGACTAAATCCTTGGTCTGGTGAGGCTCAGCAAACACTGAGGAAGTGCCTCTAACTGACTGATGCTGTCCCTTCTGTCTCAGGAGCTGCCTGATTCGCTGAAAGAGCAGACACACCTCAAAGAATGGCACATTCACAGCACCCTGATCCAGACCATTCCTGCATACATTGAGCTGTTTCAAGCCATGAGAATTCTGGATTTGCCGGAAAACCAAATCACGTGTCTTCCAGCTGAAATTGGTAGGTTACTCCCAGGAATCTTCAGCCCTTGTCTGTGGTGAGCAGGCAGGTATAGGGCTGGGGCAAACACCCCGTATCCTCCTCCTACTGCTCCTGGATGTCCCTCAGCCGTTTCTGTGTCCCAGAGCCACTGGGACATGAACTGCCATGATCTGCCATGGTGTCTTAGCGTTGACAGAAATTTCACAGTTGGCCTGGAAACCTCAAGTCATGTGAGTGGGCAGCACTTTCAGAATTTTCTGAGCCAGGCACCAGTGGTGCACGTCTTTAATCCCAGCACTCAGGAGGAAGAGGAAGGTGGATCTCTGTGAGTTCGAGACCAGCCTGGTCTACAGAGCTAGTTCCAGGACAGCCAGGGCTACACAGAGAACCCCTGTCTCAGAAAACAAAACAATCCCAAAAAACAAAAGCAACAACAAAAACTCCTCTGTTAGGATAAATCTTTCTGCCAAAAGCTGCCTGAGCCTCACCGCCACATGTGAGCTTTATGCCAGCTGCCTGCCCGAGTTAGGCCCAAATAAATACACAGAAACTTGTATTAGGTACAATGCTGCTTGGCCAATGTCTAGGATTCTCATCTGTTAGCTCAGTCTTAATTATCACAAATCTATATATTTTATAAGACTTATCTTATCGGACGCCTCCTTGACGGTGGATCACATTGTGCCGCTGGAGCAGGAGCCGAGGGGAAAGGGGCCCTTCCTGTTTCTCCTTCGCTTAAATATGAGTCTCCTTGCTATGTCACTTCCTGCCTGGATCAGCACTTCTCTACTACATTTCCCAGAATCCTCTTTGACTCCTAGTCCCGTCTACTTGCTGTCTCATTGGCCAAACAGTATTTTATTTAACAATGAAAAAGATAAACATACACAGAAGTACTTCCCCCATCACTCCTCCCTACAAGACTCCCCTTGGAAGAGAGGAGAAGAGCAGCAATCGAGGGCAACTTGGGAGGCCCCTGTATGAGTTGGGGCAATCACCAGACAACCCATTTTTCTTTTCTTTTTTAAAAAAGACTTTGCTTATTTATTATGTATGCACTGTTCTGTCTGCATGTTTGCCTGCACGTCAGAAGAGGGAAGGGGGCACCAGATCTCATTACAGATGGTTGTGAGCCACCATGTGGTGGCTGGGAATTGAACTTGGAACCTCTGGAAGAGCAACCAGTGCTCTTAAGCCCTGAGCCATCTTTCCACAGCCCTGACAATCTATTTTTCTATTTCCTTATCTGCAGCTTGGAGATCATTGTATACTTGATTCATTTAGTTGTTATGAGACTGGTAAATTTTATTTACTGTCTCATTTATAAAATGACAGGAGATATGAAGATTGAGTGACTATTCTGCAAAAGTAAACCATCATTTTTGGTTTACTAATTTAAAATTAGTTTAAGAATGACAAAGTATTCAGTTCCTTAGAATGTGTAAGATGTGATTTTTGGAGTATTATTATATATTTATTTTATTTTATTTTTTGTTTTTTGAGACAGGATTTCTCTTATCTTATCGGTAGCTTTGTAGACCAGGCTGGCCTCGAACTCACAGAGAGATCCGCCTGCCTCTGCCTCCTGAGTGCTGGGATTAAAGGCATGCGCCACCAACACTCGGCTTATTATGGTACTAGTTTTTAGTTTGGAGCTGGTTGTATATATTTTCAAGCAAGAGTCAGAACTAAGTGGCTGGAGAGATGACTCCGCAGCTAAGAATGTTTGCTGCTCTTGCAGGGGACCCAGATTTGATTCCCAGCACCCACATGGCAGCTCACAACTGCCTGTAACTCCAGTTCCAGGGGATCTCATGTCTTCTCACCACAGAGATCTCCTGCATGCTTGTGGTACACATACATACATATGCAAATAAATATTAAAAAAGAATAAGAACTAGAATACAGTATTTTTCAATCATTCTGATAGTTTCCCATTCTCCTGGATGTGTTCCCATCTCACCGGAGAAAGTCACTTCTATATAGTCTTTGGGAAGCATGACATACTATAGTTGAAAGAATGCAGATATAAAGGATGAATGATATATTCCATGCAGTCTGCAAACAGTCTGTTCCCTTTAGTTATTTATCATGCATCTAGAACTTAGTGCATTTTTCTGTATCTAGCTCATGCCTGGTAGAGCCCACCAGCAAGCATCAGCAGTTTCTGCTATCCTAGGAGCTGCTCTGATCTTACAGTCAAGGCCTGTGATGCAACTCATCCTGGGGTTTGCACACTGTGGATGCCTGGATACAGAAGACAAATCCCCTGCACAGATCCTGCAGAAATGTTTCTTACAGCCTCTTGTATGTGAACACTTGGTCTCCTGGTAGTGGTGTTATTTGGGAGCCACGGAACCTCTAGGGGGGCGGAGCCTTGCTGGGGGAAGGGCTTTGAAGGTTCAGAGCCTTGTTCTACTTTCTCTGCTTGCTGCAGTGAATGGACACACAGTTGGTCAGTTTCCTGCTTTTGCTTCCATGGCATGCCTTTTCTGCCATCATGGACTCTTCCTTTGGAACCATAAACCAAGATTTTTTTCCTCTTTCAATTTTTAAACATTTTATTTATGTATATTGATGTTTTGCCTGTTTGTGTGACTGTGCACCATGGGCACGCAGTGCCCAAAGAGTCCAGAAGAGGGTGTTGGATCCCCTGGAAATGGAGTTACAGTTGGTTATTAGCTGCCCTGTGCCTGCTGAGAGTTGAACCCAGGTCCTCTGGAAGAGCAGCCAGTGCTCTTAACCACAGAGCAGTCTCTGCAGCCCCAAACTATCTTCTTTAAGTTGCTTTTGTTCATACTTTACTAGAGCAACAGAAAAGTGGCCAATGTGCACATTAACCGTAGTGTTAAACCAACCAACAAAACCCATAAAACTGCAGCAGTACCAACAGTGAAATGCTGACTGCAGACTGAGGTGCATAAGATTAACAGAACTTTAATAGAGAATGCCCATTATGCAAACACAAAATTATGTTTTATGTCTGAATGCCTTTTTTCCCTCTTCTCCCTTTGAATTGCTTTTGAGGCAAGGCCCTTTATGTAGAACCCTGTGACCTTCCTGCCTGTGTGTTTCAAGTGCTAGATTGCTGGCGCCCACTGCCATCCCTGTCATTAGGTGAAGGTTTCACCCCTGAGATTTGTTTCTGTTCTGTTTGTCTGTTTTGTTTTTGAGAAAGCGTCTCACTGTGTAGCCCTAGCTGGCCTGGAACTCACTGTGTAGACCTGGCTGGCCTAGAACTCACTGTGTAGACCTGGCTGTCCTGGAACTCACTGTGTAGCCCCAGCTGTCCTGGAACTCACAGAGATCTGCCTTTCTCTGGCTTCTGAACACTGAGATTAAAGGCCTGTGCCACTGCCACCAGGCCCAGCTTGTGTCTGTTCTAAAAAGACTTGGAAGGACCTACTCAACGGAGGTTAACTTTTTGTTTGGCCAGGTCGCTTGAAGAACCTGAAAGAACTCAATGTGAGTTTCAACCATCTGAGGAGTATTCCCCCGGAGCTGGGAGACTGTGAGAATCTAGAGAGACTGGACTGCTCTGGGAATCTGGACCTGATGGAGCTCCCCTTTGAAGTAAGGCACAAAGCCCTCTGCCCTATGACTTACTTTAACTTAGGACATGGAGTGCACTATACTGCGAGAAACCTTTACTGAAACCTCTAGGCTGTTTTTTTTTTTAATTTATTTATTTATTATGTATACAACATTCTGCTTCCATGTATATCTGCACACCAGAAGAGGGCACCAGATCTCATAATGGATGGTTGTGAGCCACCATGTGGTTGCTGGGAATTGAACTCAGGACCTCTGGAAGAGCAGTCGGTGCTCTTAACCTCTGAGTCATCTCTCCAGTCCTCTAGGCTATTTTTCTTTCTTCTTTTTTAATTGCTAGGTTGTTCTCAGGCTTTACATGAAAATATAAGAGTTGCCAAGCAGCTTTGATGTAGGACAAAACCCGAGAGCCTACATTATGCAGTTTCAAAGCTTACTATAGTGTTACTGCATTGAATTAACATAGAGACAGACTCACAGAAAAATGGGACAGAATTGAGATTTCAGAGACAAATCTCTATAATATATGCATATGTTTACCTATATATTATAATTTTATTTTGAGATAGTCTTGCAGTGTAGTCCTGGCTGGCCTGAAACTTGCTCTGTATACTGGGTTGGCCCTAAACGCACATAGATCTTCTGGTCTCTGCCGCCGGAGTTCTGGGATTAAAGGAGTGCAACACCGTGCAATCAATTGAGTTTTCAACAAACTCACCAAGAAACTTCAATAGAAAAGGGACAATCAGTTCAATAGAAGGTTTTGGGGAAATAAAAACCTTTGCCTAACTCCATATATATTATGACTCCATATATTATGAAGAATTTGAAAAACAACACCTTAGATAAAGGGAACCAGATTAAAAGGAATGTTACCTGACATTTCCAGGAAGAAAAATGTGTAGATTCATGATTTCCTCGTGGTAAGAGGCCACAGAATAATAGCCAGTGGGAGGAAGAAAATCTGAGCATAGGTGATGGAAATAGCCTGAAATTGAGTTATGTTACACTGTGCATCCATGATCGGTATGTTTGTGGCATGTGAACTCTACCTCGCAGGAGTTAAAAGAAAGGATTTGCCCAAGTGCAAATGACTGACAGCACCTTCTGGGACTGGGCTGTGAAGGGGTGGGGAGCAGGATGAGATACAAAGTATTCTCTGAAGGAGTTGTGCAAGGGCTGCACACACGGGGTCAAGACAGAGAAAGATGACCTAACTTACCTCCACTCTGGACATCTGAGTAAAGATGGACTTCCCGGAGTTGGGGGGGGGGGCAGTTAGCACAGATCTGAGCAGGGGAGGCTGGTCCTGACTGAGCACCATTGCCAAGCACATTCAGAGTGAGATGGGTGCTGTTGTCCACAGTTAGCAGCTGCTGCCTCCCGCCCAGCAGTGTGCAAGGAATAAGAGCCTCCCTTCTAGGATAATTGGTAGGCAACGCTTTGTGAGAACTTTGTAAGCAGCAACTATCTCCAGCAGGATGCTCTGGTCACTTTTCTCCCCTCCACCTTATCAGATGATCACTTAAAACCACTTTTTCCATGAATACAGAATGAATCTAATGACTATTTTTAAAGTTCATATACCTCTGAGGTTCTGTCTGCAGGACCATGTCAACTAGTTAGGACCGTATGATAAAAAGATTTACCCCTGTATTTCCAGCCTCACATCAGTGAATAAGTAAACCAGGATCTGCATTCTAGATAACAGACATCATCCATTAACTAGGCATAAAATGAAATTGAAATATTTTGCTTTATCTTCTTTTAATAGTATTTCTAGGACTAGGGCTGTTGCCTAGTCAGTAGAGTCCTTGTCTAGGATACACAAAGCCCTGGGTAGGTTTGATCCCTAGAGCTCCATGGACTGGGTTTGGTGGCATAAGCCAGTAACCTCAGCACCTGAAGGTGGTGGCAGGAGGGTCAGGAAGTTCAAGGTATCTTAAGCTACATAGCAAGTTGGTGGCTTACCGGGGCCACATGAGACCCTATCTTAAAACAAAACAAAACAAATAAAAATATATGCATTATGTAATTTCTACCCTTAGATTAAGGTCTTTGTCTAGTGTATTAACATTTTCATAGACCTTATGACAACAGTTACAAGGTGATTGAAATATCCAGAAAATATGGATTTCATCTTTTTTTATGTCTATGAATGTTTGCTTGCATATGTGTATCATCGGAGTGCAATGCTCTCAGAAGCCAGAAGGGAGCATCAGAACCCCTTGGAACTGGAGTTTGAGATGGTTGTGAGCCACTGTGTGGTGGTTGCTGGGAACAGAACCCAGGTCTTCTGCGAAACAGCAAGCGCATTTAGCTGCTGAGGCCAGAATTTCATGGATTTGTTTGTTTTTGTGTATACATGTTTTTGTCTGTATGTGTATACATATACCACATGTATGCCTGGTGCCCTCAGGCTGGAAGAGGGCATTGGATCCCCTGAAACTGGAGCTACAGATGGTTTTGAGCTATACATGTGGGTGTGGGCAATTGAACCCCGGTCCTCTGTGAGAATAACACATGCTCTAAACCTCTGAGCCATCATCCATTCAGGCTTCATCTTTTAAAATCTCTTTAGATTGGATACTTTCTTTGGCCTGTCTTTCAACTCTGATTCTTTCTTCTGCTATTTTGAATCTGACGTTTAACTCTTTTAATAGATCTCTCTCTCTCTCTCTCTCTCTCTCTCTCTCTGTGTGTGTGTGTGTGTGTGTGTGTGTCTCTCTCTCCCTGCCTTCCCCCCAACCCCCCTCTGTTTCTCTTTAAGAGATAAGGTCTCCTGTGTATCCCAGCCTGGCCTCAGACAACCAGTCCTCTTGATTCAACCCTCTGAGATTGAATTTTTAGGTTATTTTTTGGAATTCCAGACAAGAACATAATCAGAAATGTGTCCCTTTGGTAGAGTGTATTTGATGACATTAAGATGGGATTCATATTAAGCTAAATATGGTCATAAGCCCAGTGCTTTTATTTTTCTGCTGTTCACTACCACCCCCTAATTGGTCCAACAGCCTTGTGTTTCAAATAATTTTTAAAACTGAGCTTTTTGGGTCTTTATGTACCGTTTGTTTTGTGTAGTGTGTACCTGTGTGTAGGTGCATGTGGAAGTCAGAGGACAACTCCTGGGAGCTGGTTTTCTTTCCATAGTGTAGGTCCTGGGGATTGAACTCAGATCACCAGGCTTGGCAGCAAGCACTCTTACCCACTGAGCCATCTTGGTGGCCTAAACATGTGCTCATGGATGTTCAGAACAAGTCAGTAAAAAAAAATTAGCTTCTTTTATGTTTCATAGTAGCTACCAAACTTTCACAACCAACTCCAGATTATGAAATGTTTGTTTAACTTTATTCAAAATTCATGGATTTGCATTGAAGTAATATGTTTCCCCATGTATTTGACTTGGCACGTTGCAAACAAGAACTGTGGCTATAAAACCACAGCAGAAGAGCCCAACCCTGAGGTCAGATAAGATCAAGAGATCTTTAACATGGCACCGATCCACCCAAATGTTGGTTTCCTCAAGACTTGTCTAAACTTGTTAACGAAGTCCTTGCCCCACCATCCGCCATGAAATTTGAACTTTCTAGCTGGTCATAGTGGCACACACCTTTAATCCTAGCAGAGGCAGGCTGATCTCTGTGAGTTCGAGGCTAGCCTGGTCTACATAGTGAGTTCCAGGACAACTAGGGCTTTATAGTGAGACTCTGTCTCAAAAAACAAATAAACAAAGCAAAACAAAACAACAACAAAAGACTTGAACTCTCTACCTTCTGTGACTTTGCATGTGCTGTTCCCCACCTGGGAGACCCAATCCTAATTTTCTGTTCTCCATGAAATCTTTTTGGACCCTGACCATTACTTCTTCATACTGCTGGGTAAAATCATCCTTCATTTCCTGCAAGTTGGGACTTGTTGTAGGCACTTACTACATGAGTTGCTCTGCTTATTTATGAAGATATCAGCCCCTCGAGGGCAACCATAGTGTACTGTTTATTTCAGCATCCCCAGTAGGAAGAACAGTGAATGATACACAGTAGGTGCTCCAAAACACATAGTGGGTATGTTTTTCTCTTTTTAATCTGTTTATTTTTATTTTATGTGCATTGGTGTTTTGCCTGCATTTATATCTGTATGAGGGTATCAGATCCTGGAGTAACAGACAGTTGTTAGCTGCCATGTGGATGCTGGGAATTGAACCCAGGTCCTCTGGAAGAGCAGTCAGTGATCTTAACCACTGAGCCATCTCTCTAGCCCCTGGGTCTACTTTTTTTTTTTTTAATACATACATTCATGGATATTTTTGAGGAAGAAATATTCTAAACATTATAAGTTGAACTTAATTCTCATTTCACAAGGTGCATTAGTTACCTGTTTTGATACCATTATATAACACCTGACAAAAGCCACTCATGGAAGGAGGGGTTCACTGTGGTTCACACTTCCAGGGTACTGTCCATCGTGGCAGGGAGGTCATGGCAGTGGGAGCTTGAGGTAGCCATTCACACTGCATAGGCAAGAAGCTGAGAGTGATGAATGTTGGAGCTCATCTTGCATCTCCTATTATATTTTTATTTTTTTGGTTTTTCGAGACAGGGTTTCTCTGTGTAGCTTTGGAGCCTATCCTGGCACTCGCTCTGGAGACCAGGCTGGCCTCGAACTCACAGAGATCTGCCTGCCTCTGACTCCCCAGTGCTGGGATTAAAGGTGTGCACCACCAACGCTGGTTTTGCATCTCCTTTTTTATGCAGCCTAGGGAATGGGTCCTCCAAATTAACTGAATCTACATAATCCCTTCCAGACTTGCCCAGAGACTTGTTTCCATGGTGATTCTCAGTGCTGCCAAGTTAACAATCAGGGTTAGCCTTCACAGAAAGTAATTAGAATATTCTCTTATCCCCTTCTAGTTGAGTAATTTGAAGCAAGTGACATTTGTAGATATCTCAGCAAACAATTTCTCCAGTGTCCCGATCTGTGTCCTGCGGATGTGCCGTCTGCAGTGGTTGGATATCAGCAGCAATAATCTGAGTGACCTGCCACAAGATATAGACAGGTAGCTACTTGCATCCTAAGGTGAGGTATATGAACTAATTACTAACATATTCAGAGTGTTAACACTTTAGATATGCTAGCATACAAATATCCCTTGAAATCAACTAATTTTCCAGAGTTTGGCTCTAGGAAATGATAGACCAAGACAGTTTCAATTGTGCACCACACATATATGTATATATGCATTTGAACACATCTTCATTGTCTTGGTGGATTTGATTTGCTTCAGTTACTTTTTATTTATTTATCTATTAATTTATCTAATGACAGAATCTCCCTTTTTAGCCCTGGCTGTCCTGGAATTCACTATATAGACCAGGTTGACCTTGAACTCACAGAGATCTGCCTGCCTTTTCCTCCTAAGTGCTAGGATTAAAAGTATACAAAACCACACCTGGATTTTTTTTTTTTTATAAGCATTTTAAGAATTGAGTGTGTGTACTTGGGAATGGAAGCCGGCGGAGGACAACTTGAGGGAATTGTTTCTGTCCTTCCCCATGTGGGCCTAGGTGAGCAAACTCAGGCTGTCAGGCTTGGTGGCAGGTGCCCTTACCTGCTGAGCCATCTGACGGCACCTTGCTTCTCTCTCTTCCTTTGAGACAGAGTCTTGCAAAGTAGCCCAGGTTAGCTTCAAACTCATGATCTTCCTGCCTCAACCTCCCAAGCACTGGGTCCATACACAAACAGCTTAGAAGAGATTTTTATTTTATTTTTATTATTTGCTTTGATTTTTTATTTTTGAGGCAGGGATTTGCTCTGTAGCTTGGAAGAGCTCGGAACTCATGCCACTGATATTATTAGGGTTCTTATGTTGGGCCTGGAGAGTGGGCTGGACTTAATGGATGAAATACAACCTGTGTCCTCTTGGAGTCTATGCTCTCCCCCCCCCCCCAAGACAGGGTTTGTGTAGCCTTGGCTGTCCTAGAACTCGCTCTGTAGATCAGGTTGGCCTTGAACTCACAGAGATCTGCCTACCTCTGCCTCTCAAGTTGTGGGATTAAAGATGTGTGCCAACCCTGCCCAGTGCAGTCTACACTCTTATTTGCATGGGAGCATAAATAAACTATTATGATTCATAGACCGGCCTTGGCTTAGGCCTGAGCGTGACATTATTTCTCTACTCTTGGTCCCTGTGATGAATGAATGCCTCTCTGTGCTAATGAGTCAAATGAGACTTGTGTTTGAAATGACAGGAAATTTGAGATATTTGTGGCATTACATAAGACATTGTAAATGAATAAAAAAAATCTGGAGGGAGGGCCTTCAGACTAAACTAGAAAGCAAAATAAAGCAAACTTAAAAAATATATTTTGCATTTCCTTTTTGTTCCAAGGGTTTCTCCCTACTTTATGTTAAAAATACTGAGAGCTAGGCAGTGGTGGTAGAGGCAGGAGGATCTCTGTGAGTTCGAGGCCAGCCTGGTCTATAGAGCCAGTTCCAGGATAGGCTCCAAAGCTACACAGAGAAAGCCTGTCTTGAAAAACCAACCAACCAACAAATAAACAAATAAATAAATAGTGAGAGAATAAGTTGTATAAAAAAACGCAGTGCTTAAATATGTGTGTTCTTACAGTAACCCTGGGAAATGCAGGAGACACTTAGAGGCATCTGTTGGTTTCTGAGGCCCAGTGTTCTGTATTGTTGCTAAGTCCATGTTCAGTGGGTGATTAAGTCAGCAGAGTAAAAGTTTCATAGTTATATGTATAATTTTAAAAAGATCATAGCTTTGTCTAGATGTGAAGAGTAAGCTTGTGGGTGCACACATGTTTTGGTGGTGATGAGTGGAGCCGGCTTTCCCTGTGGGAGCATCGGAGTTCCCTGCAGTTTCCTATAGTTCCCTGTGGTGTCTGTCCTGAACCCTGGCTTCTCCATAGGCTGGAAGAGCTGCAGAGCTTCCTCTTGTATAAAAACAAGCTGACCTACCTCCCTCAAGCCATGCTCAACCTGAAAAAGCTCACCTTACTGGTTGTCAGTGGGGATCACCTGGTGGAGCTCCCGACTGCCCTCTGCGATGCCTCCACACCTTTGAAGTGAGTACACGGGAGGGGGAGGGCAGGGCTCCAGGACAGGCACCCCATGACACAGGCTGAAGCCAGTGGCCTCTGGCTGCAGACTGCTGTCTTAGCATCCTGGTCAGGTGATCCTCACACACCGGAGAATCTAACCCTACTCCACTTTCTACAGGAATTTGAAGGGCTATGTTGTTCACATGCCCTGAATACACATCACTGCATTCCTGGAACTACAAAAACTACTTGCCAATGGACAGCATGAGGTGGGGACACAGGCTAGGTCTCATCTGTCTCTTAGCTGTCACATGCCTGTTGCCCTGGGTAGGCCAGACACTGTCCTAGAAATCCTCTATGTTTACATCATCTTTCCGATGTCCCTTAGTGAACCCCAAACAAAGACAACCATCCATGCAAAGGTGATATAGGCTCCAGTCTGGGGTGAAGTCTTGCTTACTCCCAAGTGGCTAGAAAGATGACAAGGCAAGAGACAGTGCCCCCAGGAACCTTTGCTTATGTTTTCATTTATCATTATGAAGAGATCAAACACCAAATTCTCACATGGGGTGTTGCGGGCAAGATAAAGGGAAAATGGGATCCTGATTGCCGACTCATATCTTTTCATTTCTGTTAGGGTCTCACATGACTCAGCCACTATGTAGCTGAGGCTGACCTTGAACACCTCATCCTCCTGCTTCTGCCTCCTGAGAACTGGGATTGAAGGTGTGCACACTTTATGTGGTCTAGGATCAAAACCAGGGCTCTGTGCCTGCTAAGGAGGCACACTGCCAACTGAGCTGCATCCCCAGTCCCTGGGTATTGATTAAAGGAAAATATGATGGGTGGCTGCATAGGGCTCAGTGTTAGAGTGAAAAAAGAAAGAATGAACAAATAGGCCAATTTAAGAAACTACTGCTTCAGAAAAAAATCTTCACACTCTTTAAATGTTGATAAAAAAGAAATCAGAGTGATTATATATGTATATTCCTTTTCTTTTTTTCTTTCTTTTTGTTTTTGTTTTGAGACAGGGCCTTTCTCCATAGCCCAGCCTTCCTGGAACTCATCATGTAGACCACTCTGGCTTCAAACTCACAGTGATCAACCTGCCTCTGCCTCTTCTATTCTTGTTTTTCAAAAAAAAAAAATGTATTTATTTTATGAGTGTGAGCGTGTTTGCTTGCCTGCCTGCCTGCATGAATCCTACATGCGTACCTGGCATCCTCATTGGTCAGAAGAAGGCATTGGATCCTCTGGAGCTGGAGTTATAGATAGTTGTGAGCCAGCATTGTAGGTGCTGGAAATCAAACCCTGGTCCTCTGGAAGAGCTGCCAATGCTTTTGACTGCTGAGACATCTCTCCAACCCACTAAAGAGGAGTTTCGAAGTTGAGCATTCACAGTAAACATGTGCTACTTTCCATACTTTCCCCAACAGATTTGTAAGCCTTATGGACAATCCTATTGATAAGGCCCAATGTCAAGACAGCGATGAAACAATAGAAAGTGAACAGGACCGCCAGCATTTTGATAAAGAGTTCATGAAAGCATATATTGAAGATCTTAAAGAAAGAGGTGAGGTGGGAATATTTAAAACCATCTAAAATGTATTATACAAACTCTACCTGCTCGTGAAATACATACATCAACATAAGTCAAATTGTCAAAAATTATTTGTGACCATTTGTGAACCAGTGATGCATTTTCTTAGAACGTGGGGCTCTTTTGCTCTCATTTTTATTAGTTTTTTGAGAACTCCATACAATGTATTTTGATCATACTTACCCCTCCCTTCACTCCTCCTGGGCCCACCCACCTTTCTTACCTGGTTTTGTTTTTCTCTCTCTGTTTTAAAAAACCCATCAGGTATAGTTGGTGTTGCCCATATACTCTAGGATGTGTGGCCTTCCACCGGCATGGCCAACCCAGCAGGGGCTGCACCCTTAAAGGAAACTGACTCTCCTTTTCCCAGTAGCTACCAGTTACCCCCTTAGTTAGGGGTGGGCCTGCATGCCCACCTCCTGTGTCCATGCTGGGATTTTGTCGGGCTTGATCTTACGCAGGTCTCCTGCATGAAATGTGAGATTTGCCTAGCATACTTCATACTTGGCACATATATCAACTGTATAATAGAACATAGAGCCTGAGAGACACACAAACTGTGGAGGTTGTATTACTAACTGTGTATCCTTTAAATTATAAGAAAACTATTATTATTATTATTATTATTATTATTATTATTATTATTATTATGTGTGTGCCTGATGTGGGGGGTGGAGCTTGTGTACTTAGGTGTACCTGTGTGCGTGTGGAGGTCAAGGGACAACCTTATGGGGTGCAGTCTTTCCTTCTGCCTCCATGTGTTCCAGGAATCAACCTCAGATTACCTTGTTTGTGTGTTTGAATGCCTTTATCCACGGAGTCACCTTGCCTCCCAAAAAATGAACTTTAAGTTAATTATGTTGACAAAATAGTATTCTAAGTTAATAGGAAAATAAGATTCCATGTCAAAAATTCATTTACAATTTTGAAAACACCAATTTATCCAAGCCAAATACCTGTATAAATGTCACAAAAAAGGAGAATACAACGGTTGGCCAACCAAGGAACAGGCCAGCTCAGGCTTGTTTTTCTACAGCATGTTGTATCCTGAGGATGGTAGGTGGTCAGATAACTCAGGAAAGGCTGGGGAGGGTTTTGTTCTTGGCTTCAAACTCAGGGTTTTGTGTATGATAGACAAGTTCTCTACTGCTGTGTGACACCGCAGTCCCCAGTCCCCCACTTCTTATGGTTGGCATAGGCCATCTGTAGATGCAACTTGTCTGTGGAGGGAGAGACTGGACACTAAATACCGGGAGGAACAAGGCTGAGTTAGTTTACTTAGCAAGAAATAGCCCTGGTCTCTTATAAACCATATTGTTTCCCACCTGCTGTCTTTAGCCCCGTGTCCTTTACCATCGATTTCACCAGCTGTTTCCAGAGCCTAGAAGTAGCTGTGTGAGATAATTGGAGAGATTGTAAAAGAGAATGAGTGTTAGCATCTTAGATCTAAACACTTCTATACTTGGCTACTCACTGGCGATGCCTCATACATTCTCTCTACGCTTAAAATCTGAAGTGTCAATGGAAGCCACTACATTATGGTTATATTTCATAATAAGAATGAATTAATAAGGGGCTGGAGAGATGGCTCAGAGGTTAAGAGCTGCTCTTCCAGAGGTCCCTGGTTAATTTCTCAGCACTCACATGGAGGCTCACAATTGACTGTAACTTCAGTCCCAGGGACTCAGACACCCTCTTCTGACCTCCAGGAACACAGGGTATTTACATAGTGCACATACATACATACATACATACATACATACATACATACATACATACATGCTGACAGAACACACATGTAAAACAAATGAATTGAAAAGAGTGAAAGAGTAGCTAAGTGTATATTTTCCTTTATTGCAGAAGCTGTTCCCAGTTACACCACCAAAGTGTCATTCAGCCTTCAACTTTGATCTGATCTACCTGAAGACGACAAAATCTAACTGCCCTGTGCACTACATCTTTTTATGTGTGTTACATCTTATAGGAATTGTGGCTTGTGCTGAAGGACAAAGTCTAGAAACTACCATCATCACTGTTAAGAAAAATGATCTTCAAATTTCAAACATGGGAAGACTGAATTTGCCTACATATTAATATTACAAGACTAATTTTCATAAACCTGTTTTAAATAATGCACATTTAATATTTTAGGACCTACATTCTTTAAAAAAATACAGCATATAGAATGAGTTTTGAAATTGGATGCAGTATTTTCAGGGATCAAGGACTAGAGGGTTATAGATGAAAGACGATTTACCACCTTGAAAATGTTCCAGTTTACTGTTTATTTTTATTGAGAATAATGCCCCTTGAGTTTAAGCAAGGTGCTGTCTCCACATTTTAAATTCATTCTGGCAAGTACGTTTTTTTTTAATTTATTTTTATTTTTATGTTCATTGATGTTTTGGCTGCATGTATGTCTATGTGAGTGAGGGTGTCAGAAGCCCTGGAACTGGAGTTACAGACAGTTGTGAGCCACCATGTGGGTGCTGGGAATCAAACCTGGGACCTCTGGAAGAGCAGCCAGTGCTCTTAACCACTGAGCCATCTCTCCAGTCCCAGCAAGTACGTTTTAAACTGTATTTTAACTCTTAGTAGAGACTAAAGGTGTAATTTGGGTCTGGAGGGTGGAAAGAAGGGCTGTTAAATGTAGTGAATTGGCAGTGGATGCTTAGGTGGTGTGGGCCTGCGAAGGTCCGAATGCCATGCTTGGGAAGCCATCCTGCCCTGACTGGTCGCCTGGTGGTCCTGGGACATCAGCACAAAGAACAGAGGCAATACCCTCAGGGCTTATTCCTGTAGGTGGCCTGGTGAGTGAGGGGTCCACACTGATGACTGCCTAGAAAGACTTCCATGTGGAAACCAGAGGGCTCTGCCCACTGGAGTGCAGCGTGGGTGAGAAGGAGCCCCTGGGATGTTAGTTTGCGTGGGCAAAGGCAGGGCTCTTTGCTCTTGTATCACATTACACCACTGGAAGAATTGTATAAAGATTCTATTTTTTTTTTTTTTGAGACAGGGTTTCTCTGTGGCTTTGGAGGCTGTCCTTCCTGGAACTAGCTCTTGTAGACCAGGCTGGTCTCCAACTCAACGAGATCCGCCTGCCTCTGCCTCCCGAGTGCTGGGACTAAAGGCTTGTGCCACCACCACCCAGCTAAAGCTTCTATTTTTATATCAGTGTCTTAGACTAAAACAGACAGGAAGTGACTGGCTGTCTTGAAGAAAGGAGGGCAAATGCACATATGATCCTTGTTTGCATGAGTGGTCTCCCCCGGTGTAGTCCAGTGTGGACGCTCCATCCTTTGCAGTGGAGAAACATTCTGAATTCGTGTTGTTAGATGCTGAAACGCCCAGGCATGGAACACTTGGTGTCTGAAGACCCTCGAAAACTAAATTTTAAATGCAGTTTAATTAAATAGCCACTTGTGGCTACCATACTGTACGGCCAGGCCTAACCTGTTGCATTGGGTAGGGAGGAGATTATGTGTGATTTAAAAAGTGGGGAGGGTTTACTTTTTCTTACCTGAAAAACTGATTTGCTGTCAGAGTCATATAATTTTAAAATGTTATCACATACACACAATTAATTAAAGCAAAACAAAAACCCTAAAACAAAAGGGTTACTAGGGCTGGGAGATGACTCAGCAGTTAAAGCTATTGTTACCCAAATCTAAGGACCAGAGAAACCCATGGAAATGTCAGGTGGGCATGGTGGCCCACCTGTAATTCCAGATCTGGGAAATGGAAACAGGATATATTTGGAGCAAATTGGCTAGCTAGCCAAGTGCACCGGAAGCTCTTGTTTTGAATGGGAGACCTTAGCTCAGTGAATAAAGCAGAAAGACGATAGAAGTTAATTCAAACTCATGCCTCTCCACACACACCCACACACACACAGAAAATGGAAAGAAGAAAGGGTAAAATTGGCACCTTGCTAATTTACCTGTGTCAATAGTTTGAATTAACTCCAAAGATTTTAATCCTTAATGGATATAATACAGATAGCATCCTCCAGTCACGTGGACATGGTCGTCTCAGTAGAGGGTTACTTTAACAAAAAGCAATACAAAGAGAAGTAAGCTAAAAGATGAAGAGTCAGAAAATGGGGGGTGGGGGGGACTCACTTTAAACTTCATATTCTTCAAATTGATAAATTGTCCTACTTGGACGACTTCAGAATTTTATTTCATATTCAAGTACATGTTTTATACCATGATATGAGAACTGTATGTGTAAAGGTGGAAGTGTAGAATTTTACACAAATAGACTGTTCATAATTTATGTAAGTTTTATTTCAATAAAAACCAGCCTTTTGTGTAAAACCTCCTCCCATGGTGTGTGTGTGTGTGTGTGTGTGTGTGTGTGTGTGTTCAACACCGTGTTGTTTGTTACTATTGAGGCAGTGTCTCTCACTGAGCCTGTAGATTGCTCTTTTGGCTACACTGGCTGGCCAGTAACTCCCTGAAAGCTGTCTGTCTCAGGTCCCCAGCGCTGGAGGGACTGCATGACTCTGCTTTTCACTGGTGCTGAACTCAAGTCCTGTACTTGAGCAGCATTTTCTGCTGAAGCATCTCCTTAAGTCCCCAATTGGATTTGTAAAGGCATCTCTCTCCTCAGTATCTTTTCTTCATCACGGAGTAGCTGCTTGCACTTCCGTGGAATATATATATATTTATATGAGTTATAAGAAAATTAAATGTCTGTTGAGCATCGTGGCTCATATCTGAGATTCAAGCACTTAAGGGGCTGAGGCAGGAGGATTGATATGAACATGAGGTTAGCCCAGACTATATAGTAAGTTCCAGACCAACTTTGACTACATCGTGAGATCTCAAACCATCTCAAACCTACCCCAAGCATCCCCACAGGGAAAAAAGTGAAGAGAAGAAAATTAACCTTCGTAAGATGGAAAACTTTTAGTGCACCGACAGTGTAGAGAGACCATTATCATCTCCATCAAATTCCCAAACATTTTCATCACCCTTTTCCCCACAAAATCCACATTGATTAAACAGTGGCTTTAGATTTTTCTCTTTCTCCAGTCCTGGTAGCCACTCGGGACTCCACTGATTTTATTGACATTTCATATAAAGGGTTACACAATGTGTGACTTTTTTGGGATGTTGTTATTTCATTTTCCACTCAGCATTCTTTTTTCAAGGCTTACATACCATATTTTATGAAAAGTGTCACAACAACAGCAACAAAGACTAAGAAGACCAAACGTTGACATGGTCTATGTGACATGCAATTACCAAAACACTCGATGCAGCCCTCGCAGCAGGCCCCGAAGCACCCACAGAAGCACTTGCAGCAGGCCTCGAAGCACCCACAGAAGTCCTCGCAGCAAGCTTCGCAGCAGGAAGATTCACTTGGTGAATGGATATGGCTGCTTCTCTCTATCTGGTAAGCAGAATGTCTTGGCGGTCTCCAAGAATTGGCCTCAACACGGGAGGGAGTAGGCGCAACGTGTGAGGAGATAGTGGGCACAACACATGAGTGAGTGGGTGGGACAAATGAGGAGGAAGTGGGTGGGACAAATGAGTAAGTGGGTGGGACAAATGAGGAGGAAATGGATGGGACAAATGAGGAGGAAATGGACGGGGACAGTGCCTTTGGGGCCTTGGACCTGGTGTTCTTGTTTCCCACATCTGCTGTTCTGCTGCCCTTGATGGGAGAAGGCATTTGAATGACGCAGCTAGGGGTAGCTGAGCTTACTGGTGACAACTGTTGGATTGGCAATATTGTAGTTGATGGGTTTGAGGTGTGGCTAACCTTGGGGTCAGCTTTGGGAGGGTTACTGACTTTGGGGTCCACTTTTGATGCTTGGGGCTTTCCCACTTTAGAGGAGGGCTGTGAGCACGGAACATTGCTGCAAGTGGCAGTGACCTTAGGCTCCCTGGTTGACTTAGAGGAGTTGGGAGACAATGAGCCACCTGGTGGTTTTGAGGCGAGGCCTAAGCCTCTGTGAGCACAGAAGCCCTGCAGACACGCCTCACAGTTGTTGCTGTCATGTGGTCCTTCAAGACTGGTGTCTCCAACCAAAGGGATCTCATCCATTTGCTCAAACCCTTCTCTGTAGCATTTCTTCAGAATTCTGAAGAGCAGATTGTTCAAGATCCTTGAGATGTTGTCCCAGGTGAACTCTGGAGCTGCAAATGGAGGCTTAGGGCACTTGTTACATCTCTGAGCAAAGGCCCTCATCTTCACCTGCCCCGTGCCCGTCTTCTCACACCAGTGCATGTGGAAGACCATCAGGACACAGCCAGAGGCCCAGCTGCGAGAGCAGGAGGAACAGTGGAACCTGTGGAGAAGAGGGCCAGGGTTTCAGCCAAGCTGTGGGCAGGTACCAGAGGGAGGAGTTTCTCACTAGCAGTGAGAGAAGTGAACGGAGCCTCTCTTTCTCATCTCCACCGTGTCACCAACATGCCCTGTGACCACTATCAGATGCTTACCGTGCAAACAGCACGTCAGACGTCATTTGACTCAGAAGGGACCCAGGGCACTTTCTAAGTCCAGTGTGTACTTTACAGAGGCTAGGCGTGCCATGAGACCTCATCACATCCCAGGACCTGGGGCTCAAGAGCCAGGACTGGAGCTCTGGTATCTTAGTCCTAAGCCATTGTTTCTTTAAACAGTGTTGTAAATGTGTCTTCTTTTGTGGTGCCCTCCCCTAATACACTCTTTGTCTTACATATACCAGAGGACTTGACACTGTTTCTGAGAGCTTGTCTCCATCAGTGCACAGAACGACACGCTGACACCCCGTCTCAGTTTCCCTAAGACATTTGTACAAATACCTGTTAGGAACAGTGAAGAAAGAACAAAGGAAGCCTGTGCAAAGTCAGAGAGATAGTGTGGGGGAGACACCTATTAATCATCAAATGACCCATGAACTCCCTCTTGACTCAGTCAACTTGGGGCTATGGAACCTGCTGGCTATGGTGACTTGAGCAGTAGTTAAGATCTACTTTCCCGAGACTCCAGCCCTCTCTGCCATAGCAGGTTGGTCCTAACTTTGCTTGAGGCAGAGGTATCTGTGGTCTGAGGTGGGGAGTTGAAGGAGGCTGAGCAGAACAGGAGGCTCATGCGTGCTAAGTAAATGTACCCCTGAGCTATAGCCTCAGGCCCCTCTTTTCCATGTTTGATCGTAGTCTGCCCTCTTAGGGCAAATGTGGAAATAAACTAAGGGGAGGAGACTGCTGAGGAGCTAGCTCTGAGTCCCATGAAATGCACTGGCCGGGAACTCTCCCTCAGTTATGCACAAGGGCCTGAGCTGTCCTGAGCTGATGCCCACAGATGTGGCCTGGTTTTGTCACTCTAGTCCACTGTGCACCAGGCCAGAGTCCCAGGTTCTCAATAAACAGACTAAGGCTTTGCTCTGGAGCTTTCCAAGTCAGCTCCTGCCTGGGGAAGGTCCAGTCTCCTCACAGAGGACAGCATGCATGACAGACACCAGGGTTCTACCCTCTATGTCCTCCTACCTCCATCCCTAGGCCATGGAGCACCCACTTTCTCTGGAAAGAGAGGGTGAAATGTTGGGTGGTCCCTGAAAGTCCTATTTAAGAAAGAATCTATTGGCTCACAGTAGATAGAGACACAGTTGCTGTGAACTGCTTTGGGCCACGAACCTGAGTCCATCTGAGGAGTCTCCTCGGTGTAAGCCTGTCTCTTCCCAGGAGCTCCAGGAAGAGGGAGTCTTTCAAGACAGGGAGAAAATGCAGAGCCCTGGGGTAAATGAACCTCCACCCTCCCCTTCCTCGCTGTCCTACCTCCCAGCCTGACTTCTTAGTATCTAGGCCTGCCACTGTTTTAAATTTATAGTAATGGGATGGGGATCCCCAATCTCTAATCAAGCTGGACTCCCTTCCTGTATTTGTCAGTGTGCAAGCCTGGACAGAGGAGAAACAAGCAAGGACCTTCTGGCATGCAGACCATCATGCCTCCCTCACCTGGCAAAGGTCTTTTGCTGGTATTGCGTCCATCCTGGCTTCAGAACATCAGGAAGAAGGTCCTTGTCTGGTGTGAGGGTCCATTTGTGCCATGGCTTCACCTCCTGAATCAACTCCTGGAACACTTGTTGCCATACTTCTATGTCGTCTTCCTCCATCATGCCTGTCGTGCTGTGCCTCGGCTAGGACAGAGACTCCTGAGTGGGGTCAGGGGCTCCTGAGTGGGGACAGAGGCTCCTGAGTGGGGGCAGGGCTCTGGGGAGAGTGCAGGGGCTCCTGGGTTGGGGTAGTCTCCTGGGTATCCTGTTGGGCACATCTGTAGCCAGCCCCTAAGCAGGCGTGGCTACAGGGAGCAGACGTGGCTACAGCATCCCCTACAGTATCCCAGGGTCTTCTGGGTGGGGCAGAGTCTCTTAAACCCAGATAGACCTGTGGCAGGAGGTAAGGTTGTCCTCTTCAGAGAGTGAGGGTTCAGGCTGGCAATCCCCCAAACTTGAATTGGGACTGAGGTTCAGACCCTTCTGCCCCAGGGACAAAGATCAGTTGAGTCTGCTCCCGAGTTCAGAGGACAGCTTTCGACACCACAAGAAATCACACAACTCAGGGAGCTTTGATGTTCATGTCCCAATATACTAGTTGGAGTCCAAATCAGGAGAGAGAGTCCAAATCAGGCACAGAGCCCCTGGAGGTGAAAGGCACACTTGCCTTTTCTGGTGCTAACATTTGAAAAACTTCATCTATTGAGCTGTTGGAATCCTGCTTGGGGCAAAAGGGTCCTCCCCGGGATTCCCACACCCCGTGAAGTCCTCATTCACACCTATTTTCTCAGGAGGATGGTGAGCTGCAGATACCCGCTGTCCCTGCCTGCCATCCATAGCCTGAGCAGAGGTCTCAGGCCCTATTCTCCACTTACCGAAGATCCAAGTTGGTACAGTCAGTGTGTGTGCCCAGGAGATTAGGTGGTGTGTCTTTAGGTGGGTGGGAGTCTGCTGGCCTTCCTCCACGAGAAGCTTCACTGTCACCCCAGACTGAGGAAGGGGAAGGAGAGCCAGGCAGAGGCAGAGCACACATCACTGTAGTGAAGGCAGACAAGAGTGTCTACACCACAAAGCCACAGAGAAGGTGGCTCTTCCTACCACCCACTTGGACATTGACGTATCACCCTGGCTGTTTCCCAAACTGGAGGCTCCTCAGCCTGGAAGAAAGGAAGGAAACAAGGGGAGGGGCTTCCTGTGACGTTTGGAAACCAAGCTTTCCCGGGCTTCTCTCCATTGTCTCTGCCCCAAATCACAACAACCTCATGGTCAGACTCAGATCACGATGCGCCCTGTCCATCCGCCCTCATTTAGTTTCTCAATATTATTTGCTCAGTTATAAATTAACTACATTTGGGGAGGTGGTTCAGTTTCTTTTTTTCCCCTCCCCCTTTCAATTCTTTCACTATGTTGTGCCCACCTGCTTGCTGTCTGCTGGCTTATTCCAGCTTTTAATAAATAAAAGTTCTCTCTTTGTGGTCAATGGTGCCATATTCTTCACACTTTTGGGCTTTTTCATAGGGAATTCACTGTGTAAGACATGTTCCAGAGAGATAGAAGGCCACGGCTCAACAAGTGTTGAGCCAAGCGGTGGTGGCACATGCCTTTAATCCCAACACTTGGGAGGCAGAGGCAGATGTATCTCTGTGAGTTAGAAACCAGTCTGGTCTACAGTGTGAGTTCCAGGACAGCTATGGCTACACAGAGAAACCCTGTCTCAAAATAGAAACAAAAAGAAGAAGAAGAAGAGGAAGAAGAAGAAGAAGAAGAAGAGGAGGAGGAGGAGGAGGAGAAGAGAGGAAGGGAGGAAGGAAGGGAGGAAGGAAGGAAGGAAGGGAGAAAGAAAGAAAGAAAGGAAGAAAGAAAGAAAATACAAGTGTTGGGGAGGTTTGTTCAGGTCCCAGTTACACAGTGTTGGCCATGTACTCAACCTTAAGAAGTCAGCAGCAGCATACGTAACAGGACAGTTTTAAACAGAGATGACACAAGGGCTCATGTTGATCACGTGACTGAAATGTGAGCAAAGGATTACAAGAACCTAATGGCAGTTCCTTTAGGAACAATGGCTTTGTATTCAAGACAGATTTCAGGACCATCATGAGCAGTGAGAACCCACTATCCTTTATCCATCTTGGGGCTTGCCTCCTCCTTTGCATTCTATAGGAGAGCTGAATTGGGGGAGCTAAGTCTCTGCCTCTCCCTGGTTTTTGTTCTGTTAGCTAGCAAACCTACATTCTACAGGCTTCCCAGACCCTCTGCTATCTTCTAGTTCTATCCCCCAAGACCAAAGTCCAAAGTGCCTCTCTCTCATCAGCCTGTGGTTAGGAACTGGTATGGGCCCTCTCCTAGTGGGCTGAGTTGTGACAGCCGGAAAGAGGCGTCTACCTGTGAATGTGTGTGGAATCATGGGTGTTTTCAGATGTAATAAAGGACCCGAGATAAGAACTGCTTTGGAAGATGTAAAGTTTCTGTGGCCACTAGGACACAACACAGCATCAGAAGACCGACAACAGGCCGAGCTGCTTGTCACTCTCTATCTGGTCAAGAGAAGGATGCTAGGTGAGCCCACACAGGGTGTCTGGGGACAAGGAGCAGCTAAGTGTAGCTATGGGACATAGCTTATATATGGCAGTGGCATGAGGGTACCTAGGCTTGCATTAGCCTCTCCTGGGAAAATAGGTTCACTCCAGGTTGGGCAACAACCACAGACCAAAGCAACTCTTTCACCCGAGTCTAGCTTGGTGAACCGATCAGTTTATAGGGATTACTTAGGAACGGGTGAGAGATTGCTGGGCAACTCCATAATAGCTAAGTCACTGAAAAGTCTGACCCCAGCATGGGTGACAAGTTCCTCATAGCTGTATAGATGGCACTCCCTCTTTGGTGAACTTTCCATCTCCTATATACTATGACAGCCCCTGAGGTCATGTATAGTTGGGGTAGGATGTATAGTTGGGGTAGTCATGTATAGTTGACTGGAAGGGGTGTAGGAGGGAAAGGCTGGAATCTCAGTCGGGGTCTAAGGACCCTCTCCTAGTACCCCTAGTATGAAAGAGTGTCTGTTACAGTTACTCTGCTTAATGGCAATGGATGTTACATTTGGAAGTCAGGGTTTCTGCAGTACTAGGCTGTCTAGGTTCCCATGGATAGGCTCGTTTGAATAAATCTGAGGGTTCTGGAGCATCAGGGCTATACCTCATTACCCTTCATTGTGTTGGGCAGATACACAGTGGTTCACAGTATGACGGATGAGAAATGATTGGAGTATAGACATGACCAGACGTTGAAGAAGGAACCCTGACCAGGCCCTTGGCTAGTCAAAGCTGGGTTGAAACATCTTAAGCAAAATTGTATTATAGGATGATTTTTTACTTACATGAGGTCAAAAGTCCAATAGCAGGCATCTTTACAATGGGGAGGCAGAGGGAGGTGTGACATCGATGCTTAGGAGAGGGGCATTTAGAGGCAGAAGCAGAGACTAGAGTTAGATCGTCATGAGCGAAGGAATACCTGGAACCTGAAAAGGCAAGAGAAGTGCCTCCCTGGGTCCTCTGGAAGGATGGAAGGACAGCTGACAGCTTGATTTTGGACTTCTGGCTTCTAGTACAGTGAAAATAAATTGTTATTATCTTAAATCATCCAGGTTGTGGTCTAGTTGTGACAGGTGACAGGAGCACCAGGTACAGACTCTTACCTTCTATTTTATAAGGGCACATTGGATTCATATTGTAAAGAAATCTGCACATACACACCACAGATGGCTCAGCATGGACGCCTGCCAAAGATTTGTTTGTTCTAAGTTAACCTTTGGCTTGGACAGCACTTCAAGAGGAGTGCAGGGAGTCTATGAACCCTGAGCTTCACACAGAGAGAGACAGTGATGAGGGAGACGTGTGGGGACCACAGGGAGCTAAGGAGACCAGAGTCTCAGAGCTCAAAGCCAGTTGACCCCTGACCAGAGGACGAAGACTGCACTGTAGAACTAGTTTTGTTGCCATTCCCTATCAGTCTGTTAGCTGGAGATGAGGCCTCACGGGGAAGCCCTCATTCCTCTTGCAGAAATAGAAACCCTAACCAAGACAGTACTGGATTATAATCTAAAGTATAAAATAAATACATCAAACCATTCTGTTATACTGTGAATATATGTTGTTTTCATTAGTTGATAATAAAAGGTGCTTTGGCCTATAGCAAGGCAGAATATAGCTGGGTGGGAAAGCCAAACTGAATACAGGGAGAAAGAAAGGTGGCGTCAAAAAAGATGCAGCCAGCTGCTCAAGAAATAGGATGCCAGCAAACCAGTAAAAGTCATGATCACGTGGCAATACTTAGATTAATAGAAATGGGTTAATTTAAATGTAAGAGCTAGTTAGTAATAAGCCTGAGCTATAGGCCAAGCAGTTTATAATTAATATTAAGCCTTTGAGTGATTTAGAGGTAGCTGCAAGATAGGACAGGACAGAAAAACCTCCGATTACACATCAGCCCATACAGATACAAAAGAATGATAATAATAGAGGACTGGGGTTGGGAAGTGACTGTTCAAATATAAAGACTAAGGTTTAGCTTCCCAGAATTGGGGGGCTGGAGAGATTGTGGTGATATATTATTTATGATTTATTAAAGCTTGCCTGACAATTCAGAAAGCAAAGTCAGTCTTAAGCTATAGAGATCAGGCAGTGGAGATGCACACCTTTAATTCCAGCAGCCAGAAGCCAGGAGGTGGTGGTACACACCTTTAATCCTAGGACTCAGGATTAAGAGGTAGATGGATCTCTGTGAGTTCAAGGCCACCCAGTTCTACACAAGATTGATCCAGTCCTAAAGAGAAACAGCTCTCACAAATATTATCTTAGCACCTGGGATCACACGCCTTTAATCCCAGCACTAGAGAGTTATAAAAGATAAGAGCAGGGTCTTCAATAGTCAGGATCAGGCATTCATTCTCCAGCTACACTGAGGATAGGAAGACTTTGAAGTCTCAGGATTCTCCAGCCACACTGAGGAGAGGCTTCAGTCTGAGGTTTGGTGGAGCCAGGATCGCCTTTCAGTATGAGGTAGAGTGAGAGCTAGTGCCTAGCTGCTTTGCTTTTCTGATCTTCAGCTTGAAGCTTGAACCCCAATATCAGTCTCTGGGTCTTTTATTTTTTCTGCTACAAGAGTTGACTCAGAGGTTAAGAGGTGGCTCTTCCAGAGAAACCTGGATTCAGTTCCCAGCGCCCATGTGGCAGCTCACAGCTGTCTGTAACTCTAGTTCCAGGAGACCTGACACCCTCTTCTAGCTTCCCTGGGCACTAGGCACACATGTGGTACACAGACACTAATTCAGGCAAAACACCTAAATA